GCTGCCGGGAGAGGGGAGCGGCAGGGGCGGCCTCGGAGCCGGGCGGCGGGGGCCGCTTGCCGAAGCCGGCGGCCGGGGTCTGCAGCCCAGAGCAGGCTGCCTGTTCCTCCGCCGAGATATTTACGGGTTTCTGTTGTTTATTAACTCTGCTAAATTAGACTTCAGGCTGCAGCTCCCAGGCGCGCGTTGCGCAGCTTAACAAGGAGTGCTGCTGGGTGGCAATCCCGCTGAGCATCTTCCACCTCCTGAAAGCACTTATCAACAAAAATAACGTCATTTTAGCCAGATACCCTTACGTGCTTCGTAAAAGGATGGAGACGCATTCCTATTTGCTTTAACGCACTGGCTGTACTGTTTCCCACTGGTGAATCTGTTGGAGAGTAACACAGCCTGCCAAACCTACGCGGGTCTCCCACCATAACACCGACTAGTCCCGGGGAGACAGAGCAGGAGGGATCCCGCGGCTGCCCGGGATAGTCACAGGGCTACGAAACTGCGGCTGGAAGTGCTGAGACTGCGGAGAACCTTTACGGTTTTTATCTTTTCTTTGCAGTCCTTCTGTTAGTTCCCAGTCAACGTAACAGGTCTGACATCAAAGCCAAACGGAACTTACTTTCCAGTTAGACTTTGTGGAACGCGACATCAAAAGCTGTTCCAAAACACACGTGCTCTGCCTCCTGCATCCCTGTTGCTCCCTCCTTCCTCGCCTTCCCTCCTGCCGGGTGGGCCTGCCCTCTCAGCTGGACTCAACGGGAAGAGTTGGATCAAGGACAAGTATTTTTGAAAACCCCCTTCGGAGTGCTCACACACCTGGGCACTTCATCCACTGTCTACTGCAGAGGGGCCCCAGAAGGTAGAGCTGCTGCACAAAAGCAACCAAGACCTTCAGGTGCACTTCAACGTCCCGCTTGTTTCTTCTTTATTGTCTGACATCTTCTTTGCCGTTTATTAAAAACAAGTAATTCCAGGTAGTTTCTGAAAAGTGATAGCTTAATCCATTCCTCAGCGACCCAAATTGCATTCAAGGCATACC